TGCGGGGCGTCCCTGGGCCCGACGCCCTCGGGCGGCTGCGCTCTCAGGACACTTGTCCCCACCGGGCAGTGACGGGGCGGGGTAGGGCGGCCCCCCAAAGCCGCGATGCCCTGGCCTCGCCGGAGGAAACGCGGCGTCTCGGCGAGGGCAGAGGAAGGGGGACGGGAACGGGGACCCTCATTGACCGCCATTGACCCAGGAGCAGGAGGGCGCCCCGGGATGGAAGCCCTGCTGTGGGGTTCTGGGGGGCTCACGGGGGGACGGGCAGGCCCCGACGGCAGCCCAGGCTCGGGGTGAGGGAGCCCCTGAGCCGGGCCCTGAGCACGTGAGCAGCCAGGACGCGGGGAGCAGGGACCGAGGTCCCGCCTCGTGCCGCCCCCCCAGAGGCGGCCAGTGGGCGGGGCGGGCTGTGGGCGTGGTCAGCCTGGCCCCGAGGGGGCGAGCATGCGCTGTGCCGAGGGCCGCCCTCCAGCGAGCATGCGCTGTGCTGCCCTCCACCCTCCGGCGAGCATGCGCTGTGCCGCTCGGGAGTGCGGGGCGGCCCGTTAGGTTCCCCGGGAGCGGGTGTGGCCCCGAGGCCTGGGCCGAGCCTTCTGAAGGCCCTTGCCCAGCGCTGCCCGGTGCCGCCCGGCCGCGAGCGGGGGGACTGGACGCTCACTGGGGCGGGTTCGGTCCACGTGCAGTTAACCAGCGAGCGGGTAACGAGCCGCGGCCCGCGTCAGGTGGATCCCGGTCCCCTCTACCTGCGCCGGTAAGTAAGGCTTCCTGGGGACAGCCAGGCCTCCTTTTTCAGTAGGGCACCCAAGTGGCGCACCTCGAGGTGGTGGCAACACTGGGAAACGCTTAGCTGTGCTGAGCCCCCAAGGCCTGCGGGGAGCCCGGAGCAGGCGGCCTGAGGCCGGTGTCCGGCGCCTGGAGTTTGAAATGCATCCTGAGCTTTAAAAAAAAAAAAAAATCCCCTTTTTGTGAAAATACAAGTTAATTTCCCTGCGGGTGCTTTGGGCGGGTGAGGGCCGTGAGGGGGGCGTGTGGCAGCCAGTCTCCCAGCAGTCGTTCTAGCTCCCTGCTCGGCTCTGAATTTAACCCAAAGCCCCGGCGCCCCGGCGCTGCTGGCTGCGCAGGAAGCGGCTGTGGACAAACGAGCGTAATCGCCTGAGTGAATTAGCAAGTCTGGAGAGGGAGCCCATCAGCAGAATGACAGATTTAAGATCTTTAAAGACATCTGGTCAGCGATGCCGGGGCGCGTGATTGACTGAGTGGTTAATAATGGAAACCCCTTAGCCCAGTGTTTCCTGTGCTCCTCGCCGCTGCCCCAGCCAGGCTGGCGTCTGCTCCAGACACTGCCCGCTGACAACGGAGGCGTTCAGGCCCCTCACCTTCCAGCTCCGAGTTTGAGGTTTCAGGTTTTTCTACTTATCTAACTCATCCATGTGTTTGCTAATCATGAAGTCTGATTAGCACTTGGTGCAATTCCATTAAACTTTCCAAATGCATTCATGAGGGCAGCTGCTGGCCGAGGCCTCACACCTCAGGGTCACTCACGGCTCTAGTTCGCTGTCGGGCGGTCCCTCACGTACACAAGCATGGGACACGCTGACAGGGCTGAAGTCTGCCATTGCGCCCCCCACCCCACCCACGGGGTTCTCAGGACCCGTGTCTGATTCTACGGTGGTTTTCTCTCCAGGCTAAAGCAGCTGGACAAGCACAGCCAGGCCACGGCCCAGCAACTGGTTCAGTTGCTCAGCAAGCAGAACAAGCTCCTGCTGCAGAGACAGACCCTGTCGGAGGAGGTGGAGCAGCTGAGATCCCAGGTACATGTGCCCACCCATCAGAGAACACGTGGCGGTCTGCACGTGGCTCTTTGGTTCCTATTTCGCAGCTGCATCTTAACAGTGATTACATGGCTCGGCTAATAGGCTAGGAGGGAGAACCTGAAGACTGTGTTGGGCATCGTGGGAGACATAGGAGCATGTGGGACACGGGCCCATCCTCTTTAGGGAGCTGAAGTGTGTGCAGGAGCCCAGGCCCAAGAATGCAGGAGCCACACCTTGTGCTGAGTGGCCCCAGGCAGCTGCCTCTGCCAGGGCTATAGGAGGCCAGACAGAGGGTTGTGGTGGTCAGGAGGCTGCTGGTGTCAGCTCTGAAGGGCCCCTGGAGGACCTGCACAGGCTGAACGGGTTGAGGAAGGGGCACTCCCAGTTAGGGGAGTCATTATGAATGGAATGCATGAATCTTGTCCTAAATTACCTGACTGATCATTGAGCTAAGATTTTGAGGGGTTATAAAGCCCTATATAAAGCCATTTTTAAACAAACAAAAAGTTTACTAAAGGAAAGATAGATGCAGGAAAAGAATAACTTGCTTCATATGTCCCCAAAAGAGAGAGAAAACCAGGGGGACAAGGGCAACGTGCTCAACAACAAAGAGAGCTAAGTTGTTGAGTGTTAGGGCTTGGGCTGGTGAAGTGGGCTGTGAAAGATTTCACAACTAAAAGATGCAGAGAGAAAGTTTCTTTTACTTCCCCAGAGAAGGGAAAGGGCCTGTGCATTGCGGATCAATACAAGGGCAAGAAACAAAAGGGCCAGCCTGCTTTTAAGCAGGTACGTTGCTAGGTGACAAGGAAGGGTGGGGCTTGGGTTGTCTTGAAGTTAAGTGGATACCAGAGGTTGTCTTGAAAAGTTATACTTTGTTTGCTTCCCAGGAGACTGCCTCCTGAAGATGTCCTAGGGAGGTGTCTTATCAGTATTTTTCCCAGGCCTGTAAAACATACTTGGAGCAAAAGTTATGAAGAGTTCGAAATAGGCTTGTTGGAAGGGGC